ACGTTCTCCTTACAATAGAGTACCAGACTTTAACAGTTTCTCTTCACCTCATAGGACTCACAGAAATCTTTGATAAAATATACATAACGTCTTTAAAAACTCACCTAATACACATTCTAATATAATCACACTATATTCCTATGCGACACAATAATTAACTATAAGCTTATACCAACTCGTTAATCGTTACACACTAGCTCCATGGGCGCAGCCATCTTATTCACTTTGTTTACATATAGCGCCACCATCGGCCGCTCATCGACTCTACTTTCTTAATGGATTACTGCGAGAGCAACCATGTTCTACAACACCCGATACCCCGTATTCTAAACTTCAACATAATTTATCTTTCTTCTAATAAGTTGCATAATGGATAAAACAACATCGTAACTGATTAACAATAATTTTAACAATATATGATAAACCTTCAATTTCTATGCAGTAGCCATAAACAATGAAATCATGGGTTATACTTTGAAAGAGTCTCAGCCTGCCTACGACGACGGCCTAGCTGCACTCTAAAGCAAGGTGACCTACATTAAGATGACAGTTCAACACGAAGTTAGGCTTCGGATGAAGGATGCCATCAAAACAAAAACGTCCCTAAATAGACATAACCTCATCTAGCCTAACAATATTTACATGAGGTTACTCCTGTGTGATACAATATTAACAATGATTATGTCCATGTTTACATACCTCTTGACGAAATGCTATATTTTTAATCATTCACGGACACCAATTACAACGAATCATACCCAAGTCTCACCCTGTCGTTCTCTGCTCCCCACATGGGATGATCATTACAATTTCACGGCTGACCGCATAACAATGAGATTATTCATACGCCGCCCTACACCCCAAATGGGCAGTGTTAATTTCAATAGTTATGGTACCTATATATATATTTTCAGTTTACGACACTTATATACGACAATCCCTTTTCTCATATATATATGCTAATTAAGTTTAGTGCATACGTGGCAATTCGTGTAAGCAGCATATACGTCGTTACGTTTATATATATGGCTCATACCTTCACCTGCATCTATACGCTTCGGTGCATGTGTCTGTAACTTTACTTCATGCTTAACAGTACAGTAATATAAAGGAAATACATGTTCAACTGTGACAATATCCATAGTTAAATGTCTAGGCACAATTTGGTTCCAGTGCAAGAATTCCTCTCCGGTCTTGATGTGGAGTGGGGAGAACGAATCAAAACACAATTTCACATACACTATTATGACATAGGCTTTGATTTACTGGAATTTAACATAATTAAAACAATAATAGTCTTTGCACTTAATTAAATACGGTATATTTGGCATGTACAAAAGCACATATTAAATTAAAATGTCATAAAAGTAAACTTAACTATAACATTATTCCTATCTTTTTACTGTATAACAATACAAATTATGTGAAGAATCAAATTTAAATTCCAGACAAAGCATCCGCATTGTTGTTATGCGAGCCTTTCTTATATTGAACAGTAAACGTATAGGACGTCTGGAGTGACTCCATCTAGTAAGGCGAGAGTTTGTAGTCTTCATTCGATCAAGCCATTTAATAGCGTTGTGATCAGTCTGAACTATAAAGGCACGACCAAATACATATACATGAAACTGGCGTATAGCCCACATAATAGCTAAACATTCTTTTTCCATAATTCAATATTTTTCTTCACATTTGGTCAATTTTCTACTTAAGTAAGCAACAGGGTGTTCATTTCCATCATGGTCACATTGTGTTAAGACAGCACCAATAGCGCGATTACTAGCATCACATTGTTGGATAAGCCCAATTAGGGCTTATTAATACAGGGGAATCAGTTAATTTTGTTCTAAAAGACGTTCTAAAAGAAGTTTCCATCGATTTGGTCCATTCCACTTTGTTTGGGGAGGATTTTTGAGTTGCCTCAGTTAATGGGAGTGCGATTTGGGAAAAGTTAGGAATACATTTTTTTGTAATAATTTGCAATACCTAAGAAGGCTCGGACATTTGTTTTGGGGATAGGGCGGGGATAATTCTTTAAGGCCGATAATTTATCAGTGCTTGGCTTGATTTGTCCATTACCAATAACATGGGCCAAGTAAGATACAGTTTCACGGGCTATCTCGCATTTCGTAGCTTTTACGGTGAGACCGGCAGCATTTAGTCTGTTTAGTACTTCAGTTATGTGAAGTAAATGGGAATGCCAGTCATTACTAAATATTGCATTATCATCCAAGTATGCTCTAGCAAAATGTTCAATACCTCTCAAAATGTTGTCTATCAGTCTTTGGAAAGTGCCTGGGCTATTAGCCATGCCGAATGGCATAACTTTGTATTGGTATTGACCCCATGGTGTAATGAATCCAGATTTTACTTTAGCTTCATCGGTTAAAGCAATTTGGTAATACACTTGTGTGAGGTCAAGTTTAGTTATAAATTTAGCATTACCAACTTTGTCTATAATGTCATCTATTCGGGGCATAGGGTACGGATCCATAATTGTGGAAAAGACAAGCCAAACCAGTCACTCGTCGCAAAAATCGATTTTGAGTTATTAATACAGTGTTAGAGAGTAAAATAATAGCTATAAAATGGTAAAAAAATCATTCAAATCCGACATTTCCTTATGAAGTTACAAGCGTTTAACCACACAGTTGTTTAAAGTACAATATATGAAAAATTAACCGTCAAAGTTTATGATTTCAGGCATTTCTCATGCAGAAACTATCTTTAAAAACTTAAAAAGTATTGTTTTAACATTGAAAATGGGGAAAATAACAGCATAGAATGATGTATAGATATTAAAGGTTAGTTTAGTGCAATAAAATAGATTTTTTAAAATTTGACATTCCAGCTGCCTGTTTTGGCCATTTTCTCTGAAACACGATTTGCGACGAGTGACTGGTTTGGCTTGTCTTTGCCACAATTGTAATTTAATTAAGTTCTCTGTAATCAGTACAAATACGCAGGAAGCCATCAGGGTTAGGAACAGAGACAATAGGTGCAGCCAAGGGGCTTGTTGAGGGTTCTATTATACTCTTTTTTTTGCATGTTTTGTATTTGTGATTTAATTTGGTTTTCTATGGTATATGGGATTCTATAGGGCTTTTGACAAAATGGGCATTTCTGTTGTAGTACGCACCTCATGTTTAACCATCTCTGTTTTGCCTTGGATATCGGTAAACATGGTTCGCTTTGAGTAAAAGATTTGTTTGAGGTCTTTTTTCTGGGAAGGGGTCAAATGGTCTGGGATTGTGATCTACGTATGATTGGGCCTGGAATGAGGGGAGACAATGGGGGCCAGTGGGAACCAACCATCGGAATCGGTTTCAGTGTACATACATTCAATATTTGGTGTTTGTGAGCGTTCACAGTACAGTCTGAGTAAGTTAATGTGATATATTTTGACAACTTTTAGTTTGTCTTTTAACTCCATAATGTACCGAGAGGCAGATTGTTTGTTGTCGCCAGTGTTTGTCATGTTGTCTTTAATTAATTGAAGTGGGGATTTAACCTTGTACGCGAAAATAAGTTCAAATGGTGTAAACCCTGTTGATTCATGATGCGATTCTCTGTATGCAAACAAAAATAATGGAACATATCTATCCCACTCAGTTAATTGTTCGGGGGTAAGGCATTTTATCATATTTTTCATGGTTCCATTGAATTTCCGTTAGTTTGTTGGTGGAAAGGGGTAGATGTGATCAATTCAATTTGTAACAAATCTGAAAGTTGCTTAAGTAACCTAGAAGTAAAGTTCTTTCCTTGATCACAGAGAATTTGCGATGGAAACTCAAAATCTTTAAACACACATATCAATGCATCAGCCACTGTGCGAGCCTTAATGTTATGTATGGGAATGGCAAAGGGGAATCTAGTAGCGTAATCGGAAATAGTAAGGATGTATACTTTGCAGTTCTTAGATCGTTGCAATGGGCCCAAAATATCCATGGCTATTCTTTGGAAAGCGTGACCAACAATATCCAAGGGTTTCAACGGGGCTTTGGTATAGGAATTAGGGCGAGCGGTTTTCTGACATGTGTGACAGGTGCGGCAATATATGGCAACATCAGAAAATATACCGGGCCAGTAAAATAATTGCAGAATACGCTGTGTAGTTTTATTTATACCGAGATGTCCACCTGTCGGGTTGTCATGGGCAACAGAAAGTATGTTCGTACGGTACATTTTACTATCTGTTCCCGGGGAGGGGATTTATCATTATTCTTTACTGATGACCATTTTCGAAATAAAATTCCATTCACAAGATAAAAGCAAACACGGTGGAAATCTATCTGGTGAATAGGGACTGTCCTGTCTGTAATAATGTTGTTTTATTGTTGTGTCTTCTCTCTGTTTCTGTGTTAGTGTTTCTGGGGCAGTGTTGATTTTTAAAGGTGTATGTTTTAGGTTTTCATTGTTTGTTTCATCTGTCTTTTTAACCTTTGGTGGGACATTATGTTGCTCACGATTAAAACTTATTAATGGTGTAGCATGGGTGTTGGTGATTGGGAAGGTTTTAACATTTAGGGAGGCAGCTAATTCAATGGCCTCTTGTTTCCCTTTTCCTGCGCTTCTTTGCGTGTAACTGCTAAAATTTCAGTAGGCCAGGTCACGTCATATGGATTATCTTTCATAATTTCGTTACCAAGCAATAAGTCCTTGGGGCTGTCATTGCTTATAGCTGCCATTAAGTAACCATTATAGGCTTTGCAGTTAACATATATTTGTACTGTAGGGAGGGTTACACTATTTCCAGTGATGACCCGAATTGTTACGGTTTTTCCTTTATAGTCGTTTGGGTGGACAAAATCTCTTCTTACAACACTTTGAGAACAGCCAGTGTCCCCTAGGATCATGGCGTCCTGGTTGTTAATTTTTCCAGGAAATAACCATGGATTTTTCCTGGTATTATCATGTCTAACATAAAAGCCTAGTCATTGGGGAGATTGGGAGTTGCCATTCGATTTGTTACGATAGGGATTAAGGGGGCAATCTTTACTAAAATGTCCTATTGTGTTACATCTGTAACATGCGTAATTGGTTTTGTTTTTTGTTGGTTGGTGTGTACCGTTACTACTGTAGGGTTTCGCATCAGGGGTTGAAGAAAAACTTGGGGTGAGTGACATTAAGGGCTTGGGAGCATCGGAGAAGTTGGATCTTAGGGATGTGGGTGTGCCTCTAGAGGGGAAGGTATGGATAAACGATTTGGGCACCTCGACAGGGGTATTGTATCCAGAGAGTGGTCTGGTCATGGACTTGGTGGATGGCATTTGGGATGACTGGGATGGTTTAGGGTCTGTTTTGGTAATGGATTCAATCCAAGTCCTACCTTTAATTTCAATCATGTTATCGGCAATTCTTGAAAGTTGTTTGGACGTTTTTGGCTCTTTTTCCTTAACTAAGGACATAAGGGAATAGGGAAAATTTAGTAAGGGCCTGATCTAAAAGCAAAAAGTCTAAAATCGCTTTGGGGTCTTCTATATTGACATTCGCACTAGTGAACCACCGTTTCATTTCGTGCTCTAATTTGCCAACCCACTCCTTAGTTGACATAGAGAGTGATTTGGTTGTCTGACGAAACTGTTTCCGATATGCACCAGTGGTTAACTGGTACTTTAAATGGATTGCTGTTTTAAGTTCAGCATATGAAAATGGGGTATCTGGCATGTCATTGAATGCCTCTCTGGCTTTACCAGTGAGTTTGGGGAGGAGATTGAGGACATATTTTTCAAGTGGAATTTCGCATTGATGAGCAATCCTTTCGAAACATGTCATATAGGTGTCAATATCGTCCTTTTCCGTAATTTTGGGGATTTTGTGAATCGGGCTGTTGGTGTTGTCTTGGGGTTGGGGTTGCCTACCAGCGTTGACCAATTGTACTTCTAGCTCTCTAATTTTAATCTGGTATTCTAATTCTTTCACTTTCATGGCCATAGCCTGATTCTGAAAATATACGTCATCGTCTAAGTCATCAGACAATGATTGCACGTCAGCGGTATTAACGGCTGTCCTAGTTTGGGACCTAGTTTTGGGTCTGCTAGCCATGTTAAGAAATCAAAAGTTCTAACAATATAGTGTATATAGTCAAAATAAAATGAAATCAAATCAGTATTTTAAAACTGAATAAATTAAATACTTAATGAACACTTTAAAAGCCTTTGTCATAATTATAATGTACATGAACTTGAATATTGGTTACTCACCGTTCCAATGTGTCGTACGTATTCGTCTTTCTTGTGTGCCTGGAGATTGGTTACTCACTGCTCACTGTTCCAATTGTTAAATTCGTCTGTAACTTCTGAAAATCATATGGACTTAGGTGCTTGTAGCTTGTAGGGGACCACCGCTAGCCACCATGTAAAGGTACGCGTGATCGAGGGCAAGGCAAAAGAATTACAAAAACTTCAAATATATAACTTCATTATAAATATTTAATAAAACGATGAGGAGCATAATGATTTTGGACCGATGTTGTTGTCACAAGTCACAAGAATCAAAACTCAAAACTGACTATCCTAACTACTAAAGTAACTTATATACAGCAGGGGGACAGGAAGCAAGGGCTCATCAAGATATTCCTTATCAGTGATGTAGCATAAACATCCTGAGTGACTTTCCCAGTAAGGAATGCATGACTCACTTAAGTAGACCCAGGAGAGGGGGAGGGGTGAATGGCATATTGGTCTTGTCCAGTGGATACTGTGTTACAGTTACATTGTTTAGGTATATAGTCTATATTATGGCGTTGCTAAGAAAAATTATCTTTAATAATGGCACCAAGAAGTTAATAACAAGATCTAGTAGATCCATTTTGAATTGTTTGCAACTGATTTCTTACTGTCTTTCTTCATTAATGACTATGCTATCATTGCAAAATTATTCATATTGCTACAGGTACAAGAGGGTATTGTTTCTGGAGCTGTTGTGTGTGACTAGAGATAAGTTAATTCTATGAAAGTTTATAAAGACAAAAAAAAGGACTGGTACTAGCCAAGACCCTTGTGGCACACCACCATTGGGAAACACACTGTTAGTGTAACAGAAAGTTTCTTCTGTTGAACTTGTGTGACGATAAAATGAAAAATACACACGCACAAAAATAAAACAATTAAAATTCAAAGCACACACAAAATCAGAAATCAGAAAATCAGTACTTAGATTAGCACCAGAGAAAAAACACATAAAATTGCACATACATCAATTAAATTAGAGAAGAACAAGTTTTCTCTTAGCTGTAGTTCACTTGCGCGCCACTGGGACTTTAAATAGTGATATATTTGTTGGTCCTTAATGGCCACGCATATAATACTATTGTTGTTAGTACAGTCTGATTATGTATTTTATTTCTCCTGGCCGTTGTTATCTTTTTACCACAATGAAATTCCTTGTGTCTTCGAAAAGAACTTCGGCCAGCTTGTATTCTTAACACTTCCGCCTTTTGCAGGTTTTCATCTAATTTGACCCAAGTTCCTGTATTCATCGACTTTCTATTTTTGATGGTCTTAACTCTGGATAGTGCCATTTGTTACGGCACTTCTAGACGCTGATAAATAGCACTTTAATACTTGTAATTAGTTTTCAAAACACCTTAAAACGGCAACTTTAAGTGTTATTATATTCAAACATTTGGTTTGCAAATAATATGAAATATATTAGGCTTACATTTCTTTAGAAATCGAATATTGTACTCGTGATTCTAGACATTTTAATAAGAAAAGGTTGTATAGGTTGTCTACTGTTTTTATATTAAGAGACCGCCAAAGAGTCTGAACTAAGTAACGTTGATCAAAAATGTGTCATACTTTAATATATATATTTATACTACTTCAAATAAATATTCTTGTTGAAAGTCTATGCCTACAATATTTAACTTTGCATCTGAAGATAAATATAATTAATAATGAAAGATCTACTATCCAGTAAGTTAAATAATTTGAAATTCTGAATTTTTTTACTTTGTATATTGATTTGATTATATTATGTTAATATCCAGAAAAATATTAACATACCAACATAATTACTGTTCAATAACGACTTCAAACACAATATGCATTAAACAGGTATGCTCTCAATGTTACAGAGTTTATACGTATAACTAAATACCGAAGTGCAATAAGAGGATTGTTTTTGATCTCATCTCAGATGGTTTGCATTTTAAAACCATTCAGATTGTTCAGGACTATCAGAAGCATTAATTGGAGGATGTTTGCTTCGGAAAAAACAAAATAAAAACGTAGAGTATGTCACTTCAGTAGGTTTAAACTAAAATCCGTTGTATAAATCGAATAGTTCGTGTATGAAGAAAACATGATTTTTAAATGGGTGATATAAATACATTTAGGATTAGGTCTATCATAGGCCTAATGTGAGTAATCCAGGAT